CCTGAGGTGGGGAGGCTGGTGGGTGTGAGTGGGGCCCCGAGGCTGATCCGGCCGCTCTCTCCCCAGGAGGTCGGACGCATGAAGATCGAGCTGTTCGCTGATGTTGTACCCAAAACAGCAGAGAACTTCAGGTAAGGGGCAGCCAGCGTCGCTGCAGCTCAGCCTGGACCGGGGCTGCGAGGCTTTTCTAGAGGCTTTATGGTGCAGGAACATCTCTAGTGACAGAGTGACTTACCCGCCCTCCAGAACTGCTGCACCTGCTTTGGTCCTCTCTCTGTTCTCCTTGAGATGTGACCGTGCAGCATCCTGATCCCTCAGGAGAGCCCATCGGGCTGGGAGGTAAAGGGCTTCTTGGAGAAGAGAAGGTTCCAAGGAGACCTTATTGCAGCCTTTCAGTACTTGAAGGGAGCTTAGAAACAGGAGGGAGAGCGACTTTTGACATGGGCAGGTAGTGATAGGACAGGGGGAAATGGTTTTAAACTAAAAGAGGGGAGATTTAGGTTGGATATTGGGAGGAAATTTTTCACCCAGAGAGTGGTGAGCCAGTGTCCCAGGTTGTCCAGAGAAGCTGTGGCTGCTCCTCCCTGGAAGTGTTCTCGGCCAGGCTGGATGAGGCTTTGAGCAACCTGGTCTAGTGGAAGGTGTCCCTGCTGCTGGCAGGGGGGTTGGACCTGGATGAGCTTTAAGGTCCCTCCCAACCCAAACCAGTATGGGATTCTGTGACTCCAGTCCCTCTCTGCTCCCTCTGTGGAGCTTCTGATGTGCTCGGTGCATTTATAAAAGGCAGCACCTTAATGTCACGGTTGAATTCTCTGGCCCTGGCTGAAGGATGTGCCCCTGGGACATCCTATTGCCACAGGAGAAATGACCAGACCTGTTCTCTGTGAGCCACGGTGCCTGCTCCACGTTCAGTCTCTCACAAGCTCGGTGTTAAATATCTGACCTCCTCGACTGCAGAAAGTGCAAAGTCTGGTTTGCAGTGGAAGTGGGGAGGAGTTCCTGACGGTTGCTGTGTCACTGGGGATCTCCTCGATGCCTTAAGGCAACTCCTGCCCAACAGCCGCTGCATGTTGGCCCAGTGCAGCCCTCTGTGTCCTCAGAGTTCAAACATGACTCATGCTCTGCTCTTTCTTGTTTTCCAGGCAGTTTTGTACGGGTGAATTCAGGTGAGTGGGTTAGGGTGGCCTTTTCAGTTGCCTGCTCAGAGGAACGGGGCTGGGTGAGCAGGAAGGAAGCTCACTTGGAAGTTTTTCTTACTATACCAGTACAAAATGAAAGAGTTCCTGAAGTTTGCTCTGGCTGGATGAGTTGTGGAGATGGCAGATGTTCCTTCAGGGCATGACTTTGTGCTCAGGTTGCTGTGAAAAGCCCCACCTGCAAATCCCACCTGCACATTGCAGTGAGATCCCGTTCAGGCGATGGGATGGATGTTGGGGGGGGTGGTATCTGTGTCATTTCCCATGCAGAGCCCACTCAAGGTTTCCCTTGGCCTCTGGTGGCACCAGCTGAGAGCCAGGCCCCAGCAGATGGGTTGACTGGTTGTCTCTCAAGACAGCTACTAAGGCACAGGGCAACCCTGTGGGACTGGGAGGTCCTGGGAGGGTTTTGTGTTGGGATATCCAGTCGGTTGCAATGATTTTCCTTTTTGTTTCCTTGCAGGAAAGATGGTGTCCCCATAGGTTATAAAGGAAGCACGTTCCACAGGTAATTAATTCATCTGCTTTTCGGGAGGTGCTTGAACAGCAGTCTGAGCTGGATGTGGTTTGGAGACCTGCCTCAGGGCGTTACTGCTCTGGGAGGCAGTTGTGGGTCACGTCTGACAACATCTTTCTGCAGCTTTGCGGGATCCGGGGCTGCTGTGGGATGTGTACGCAGGGGTCACTGGGAGGGATCACCCGTTCCTGGTGTGCCAGGTCAGAGATGATTTTCTGGCATCTCTCACCTAATCCCTGTCCCTGGTTGAACACCAGCAGGTCCCAAATTACCCGACAACAACCAGCAGTTAATCCATGTGGCACGTTTCAGACCATAGCGTTCCCAGACCCCGATAACTTCTGCTGTGCTGCGAGGCAGAACTCCTTTGTCGCACGGCTTAAGCTGCTTGAAGCACTTGGCTACTGAGAACTGAGTGTTGTTTTACTTCTTTAGGGTGATAAAGGATTTCATGATCCAAGGAGGTGACTTCGTAAACGTATGTACTTCTGGGTTCCTTTCGTCCTTTTCCTGCAGGGTACAACCTGCAGCTGTTGTGCTGATGTATGGGATGTGTCGGTTCTCTTTTGAGGTACCCAGTAGAAACTGGAGGTTTCCTCTTGGCATTGCTGCCATCTTACTGCAAGAGACTAGAATGCACTTGAAACAAATCTGGAGTCTTGGCTGAACATACCTTCTCCTTCCCAAATTACTTCCTCTCTAGAAAAACCATGGCAGTACAGCTAGAGGCTTTTCAAACTTGTGAAGTTTTAGCTTTTTGGGTTTGGTTTTTTTACCCAGTTGTCCTCCCTTCTCTTGTCCCCCCCAAACAAGAAACCTGTGAATTTCTAGTAGCTTTGAGGATAGAGACCCTAAGTATGGAACCAAGTATCTGGTGCAAGAGAGAGTTGAAATCCAAACTCGCTTGTTGTTAGTGAATTGTCTCACAATAGAAAAGACACCATGCCTGCAGTGGTGGTCGTGCTCTGGCCTGGGGATAAGCAGAGCGTGTGGGGGAGGCTGCAGGACCACAGAGTCTCTTCACTGTCCTAGGACTCAGTAAAATGAAAATGTTTCAAAATCTGAGGAGGGTGAGAAAGCTTTTTTTTTTTTTTTTAGTACGAAATTTAGAAAACTGGGTCGCATGAAAGTCGCTGAGAACTGAGCGCACAGCAGTGGCTCAGCCACGCCGGCCTTCCAGGGTGTCACTAATTGTGACTCCAGTGTCCCACGGGGCTTTATTACTTCCACTGAATCTCCGGGAGCATTACAGCTTGCACCATCTTTAATTGATAAATTACACTCAGTGCAAAGCCACTTGGGGAGCAG